CTGCTGAATATTGGGCTACAATTCTTGTGAATTCCTACCATGATGTATCATACATTTTTCATTGAAAAGGAGTATTCCAGATCTCCTCTGTGATCCTGAAGAATCAAGAGCATCAGGGAGGTCAATTCTGGTCAGGAATCCTCAGCCTGTACTGCAACAGTTAAGCTAATGGTTTTGCTGGTGCCTGTTCACTGTGTGAATGAGATAGGATGCACTTGTCTTCCTCATCCCAGCCACGAATGTGGGACTGATAAAGTGAAGTGGATGTCCCAACAGTACACACTGCAGTGTGTCATTGTCATTTCTCTCATGTAGATACAGGTCTTTCAGAGGTGAGCTGAATGTTTTTTTTTACAAAAAAATTAACATCAAAAAGGTTGTGGACACTTAATTAATCTCTTATGAGGGCTTAACTGAAACATTCTGTCAAGTTTTTAGTGGAATTAAAGGTGGTAGTTGTGTGATAAAATACCTGAAAACAATAATGAACACTTAGAAATAGGAGATGATGAGATTCTGCACAATAGATAATGCTATTTCTAATGCTGATATTTAAGCTACAGTATTTGTCTTTGGTAACTGCTGTGTAAGATATTGAATCAATCTTTAATGCAAGTAATTACAGTAGATCTACTTTAATTACAGTAAAATTAACCTGTTAAAGACCATGGTTAAAGGTTTACTGGCAGTTTTTAGGAGGTTCTATCAATGAAAAAATGAAGAAATATTTTAGGTAAATTAATGTGTATATCCTGTACACTGTAAAGCTCAGGAGGTGTGTAATGTTACAAAACAGAGAAGAACAGATCTTTCTTAAAACAAATGTGCATTGAACTGAAAGGGGCACTTTGTCAAAAGGTCCTTTCTGCAGAATAACTGGTAGGTTTAAAATTAAAAATGTCACTTGACATCTACAGTAGATCACAGCAATCTGGGAGCTGTCTTTTAATTTTGTGCTCTTGTTGTGTACATGTGTGCTGGTTACTCATGGGACCCTCTTATAAGAACATAGCTGTATTGACCAGAACACCCTCACCCGTGGGCTCCGGCTTTTCCAGCACTCTCCACATTAGGGGACAGGACAGTCAAAACTGGTCCTGTTTTTGCATTTGGCTTCTAACCTAATTACTAGCTGTTGCATTTATTTTAACTTTCAGGAAACCAAAATGAACAACCCACTTTCATCTGTCATCATTTAGAAGCATTGACATCATTGCTATGACATCTACTTGAAGAAATCAGCAGTCTATTACTATAGATTTCTTCTCTAGAGCAATGGTTCACAAATGTAGTGAAGCAGATCAATGTGGGATGAGGAAAGGAAAGACCACAGTACAACTAACGCCTTGTACGCTGCAGAGGTAGTGTGTCCGTCGTGGTTCCGTGCAAGTTCTTGGCCTCGCCGTTCCGCCCCGCGGGTTCGTCCCGCAATACCCGGGCGGAAACCTAGGTCTTTGGCGTAACGCAACAGGGGCGGCTGAGGTCGATGACTTCACCGTGTCCAGACCAGCTCCGCTACAGTAGCTAATCAGATTACAGAAAGTAATCTGTTCTCTTAACCCTGTGTGAGGATGTGGAGTTTTCTCCTCGCCAGAATCCAATGTTTTGAATGAAGTACAAACATAAGGAAACATACTGTACTGTGATCTCCCCCTGTTCACCACTAGAGGACCCCTAACACCACCAAGACAGCCCTCTGATCTATTCTCGTGTCCTAACTACCGCGTGAGAATGTACAGTATATCAGCACCACCTGGGTTCCTAATTAGAAGCCCTATATTACATTCTCACGCGATTCCTCTGGGTTCGCCCTAGACTTACGGCACTGGCTGGAAAGTTATGAGAAACCCTTATATCGCTAAAGACCCTTTAGAGAAAGTTCTATTATTGTTTAGAACCCTGCTGCTCGTCATAGCTCATGGGATTTGATTTAATGTGAGTGACTACGTACAGTACCAGCTCTCTACCTCATCTCGAGATGTTGACCCTCCTGCCCGTGAAAAGGCAGAGTGGTAAACCCACACTGTTACAATACACAACAGATACACAAATCCAGGGGTTTAACTTTGTTGTTGTTGTTGTTGTTTATTTCAAGTGAGGGTTGTGCAGTACAGCAGAGTAGGTGTCCTATGGTTAACCCCCATAACCCCAGCCAGTCAGTAGTTTTGAACCTTCAGCCCCACTTTGGTAAAGCTCTGTGAAATGGGAATGGAGAGAGCCCAAGGCAAGAGAATGGCAAGGACAGGGATCAGCTGGGAAAGTCTTCGGCAGAGAAGAGAGGTAGCGGTGTGGTCGTGAGGTCTGGTGAACCAAGGGGCTGAGGAAGTGTGGCAAAGCCTCTGGGGTATCTCGTCTGCCAACAGGCCGTAGGGTCGGTCATGCTCTCTGCTAGCCCGTGTGTTTCCTGGGGTACTGCTCTTCCACTGGCCTCCTGGTGCTGCACTCTAGTCTTCACATTTCAGCAGATCTACAGATATTTTGTGGGGTGGTGGCTTTATTCTTCCGAGAGCCAGCAGCTGGGGGCTTTCGTACTCAAAATACTCCGGCCCCACGAAGACCCTCACTTTGTCAGCCCCACACATGGCCCCATCAATGTGCTTGTATGGTAGAGTCCATTCCTTAACCACAGTGCGAGGTGTTGCAGTCAGGTCCACATCTAGCATCTTGCTCCCTGCAAGCAAAGGTTAGAGGTAGAAACAGTCCAATGAGTTTCAGAAGGTGAACCATCCTGAAACCTGCTATCCTATCTTACCTCACTGTGAAAAAAATCAATGTATTATCTGTGTTCACTACGTCCCTCTAGAGGCTGATATTCAGTTTACAATTATGTTTCCACTGCACTTTCAAAAGTTTGGTGCTTGTGTGTTTTTCCTTTGTTTTGGGGTGGGAGGTGTTGCAGAAGCTAGTATCTTGCATTTTCTGTTGCTGAACAGTGTTTATGGGCTATGTGCAGTTCAGAAATCAAAAGCCCCTGAGCCTGTCTAGCAGTTAAACACTGTCTCCCTCTAGTGTACAGAGCCTTTTACGTGCAGTTAGTGAGAGTTGTTGGATCAAGACCTACTGTACAAAGGAATATCTGCAGGAGAATAGTGAAAAATTATGTCACCAATTTAATTAAGGGGGATCTTTTAAAAGTAGCCAGAAGGTCCAGGCCCAGTTAGTTTTCTTCACCACTCTTGATCAATAATTTCTAAAACTTTCAAACACTTGTAAATTATGGATCAATCAAGAGTTTTGACCTAAATGTATTTAATTTAAAGGTCATTTTGTTCTGCAAAATATTTCATTTGATCAGAAATGACTTTAGATGATTAAAACTGTTATTGGCTTGTCCTGATACCTTTTCACATCAATGTCTCCTAACCTACTGTATGGTGAATGTAATAGAAAACAAAGATGTTTTTTTGTTATTTTTTATTTCTGTGGAGCATTTTCTTTAAGTGTGAGAGCTAACATTGTCATGATACAATAAGAAAACCTTCTATTTTCTTATCAAAACAATTGCATGTGATCTCCTTCCTCAGTTGTGTCAGTGCTTTCAGAGAACAACCAATGTACTGAAAGTGATCTAAAATGTTCAGGGTCCAAAATGCAATGGGAGACCATTAATTCACAGTACAACGCATTCATGTTGATGGTTGTTGGTATTTTCACTAAATATTAAACCTTGGGTTTGGGGCAGTTTGGGGAAGCAGTTTTGAGCTCACCTTGAATGATGTGCACCACATGTTCCTTTGCACAGACAAAAGCAGCATCCACTTCTCCCTCCACCCCCAATTCTTCCTTCAAAGTTTTGGGGTACCCCTCTACAAGAGTATAATGCTGACCAGTCTTGTAAATGTAAACTTTCCCGTCCTGCAAAACAGAGTTCAGAAACCAAGGTCTGTATCTTCAGAATGTTACAGCACCTGTGGAAAAATTCATACCGCCAGCTTCCCACATAAAACAACCTAACATGGATGACTACGACTTTCCACCCTGAGTCATCACTTCTATACTGTAAAACAAAAATATCAGTCATAAGATGATCCACAATAAAAACTTGGAAACTAAAATAAATGTTAGACAAAATACAGTCTGAAACTGTGCATTTCATTCATTAACCATCATGTAAAAATAATGTATGTTCAGCATCATGTAAATGTATTTCCTTTCTGGTAAATAGTAGAATTATTTTAGAATTTTAAGACTCGAATTTAAGATTAGAATTTTTTAAGACATACAATTCCAATTAGTAGTTCAGGTGGGTAGCTGCGTCAGCATGCGTAGGCTGCAAAGGAACAAGTAATAGGTTTATTCCATGCTGAAAAAAAGAAGAAAGAGAACACAACGTTTCGGCCGTGGAGCCTTCTTCAGGTGTGAGCTGTGTGTTCTCTTTCTTCTTTTTTTCAGCATGGAATAAACCTATTACTTGTTCAATTCCAATTAGGTCTCTAGTTTCCATCTGAAATTATCACTATGTGCCACAGTGCTAGTTGTGCTGTATGTACAGTTTAAACACTGTAGACTATCCTAAATGCAAACAAAGTCACCTAGAATATGCTCACCTCCATACTCCAGCTTGTTAACCATGAAACGTTTAAAATTATGGCCTCAAAATGTCCCCTTAAAATTTTCCAGGAACACCTGCAGCTCCCGAGTTATGTGTATAATTTCTACCACCTCATAGTAACTCCAGTACTCAATCCTAACGTGAACCCTTGCCCTGAACTTTAAAAACACAGTTTTAGACTGACGATGCTCCTGGAGAACTATTTTTAAGTTAATAATGAATATGTTGAAATCTTCTATGCACAAACACATTAGTGTAGTGACTGATGCGGTCTGAAACCTCTCTTGCCTCCCTTTACCTTAATAATGTAGAGTTTGTGATCCCAGGAAAACACAGCATCCACATCGCTGTGCACCTCTTTCCAGGCGCTGTCAATGGGCCAGGCGTGCCAGCCGTCACGGGCGGTATCAAGGCGCAGGAAATAAGCTCCTAGAAGAGGCAATGCAGGCAGGTTAGGAAGATAAGATCCAGGAAATCAGAGCCAGTTCTGCAAAAGTATTAAAAGGTTCCAAGTACACCTGCCTCTTTCACCCCCTGGGCGGGTAAACTGTCTCAAGCATCAGCCACTCAGTGAGAAAAAAAAGTGTTTACCGGGGTTTTCTGTTTATCGCGGGTTGACCTTAAACACGCAGCTCGAGGTCTTTGTAATGTTTTCTATTCAATACCATTTTAGCCGAGGCCTAGCCAAAAGACCGCTCACATTTTTATAAAACAAAACAAACTTCAAAACAGCAATTTGTGTTTAAAATATGCAATATTCTTTTGTTTAATTTAAGGCATTCTAGCATGATGCCATTCAGTGAGAGATGACTTCTATCTATCTACAGATCTATCTATCTATCAAGGTACAGAGCACTCTGCCTATTGAACACTGTGCTACACGAAACATGTCACCTCCTGCTTAAATCAAGTCCTTTTTGATCACTATCCCTGGGACACAAACCTTAACATGAAAATCTGGTGCTCTCTAAAATGACTGTGGTGCTTGGCCAAGAATGGCCTCCCCTTTACCATATTCGTACTGCTGAAGAGACAGGTCTCCTGATGTGTACACACTCTACATGCTCATATGGCTACTGGGGATCCTGCTTTATAAATCACCCTTTCATTCCACATGGAGACCCCACACAGTTCTCACAGGGTATCTCCATGAAGCTTGTGCAATTCGCTGAAACAAAGGGAATGGAGTGGAGAACAGTGCTCATCTGTTAGAAAACATACGTGAAGGTCTTTCCTGAGCTTCTCAAAAACCACACCAGGAGAAAGCACACAAGCACAGAAGGACTAGGCCTGAATCTCCCACCTCGGAAGGCGTAGGATCTTCCCTCGTCATCAGAAGTGAATTCGTCGAAGGGCAGTTTGCTGCAGCGTTCAATGTGGTCCCTCTTAGAGTCATTCTTTCCATGGCCTGCAGTCCAGACAATAGAGCACCATGAAGCCTGACATGCAAACATTCATCAGCATGTGGTACTGAGGAAGGTTAAGGTTTCTGAAGTGCACTGCCAAACTTAAATACAAAATCACATATTAGGAAATAACTTAATTCAACATTAATTGAAGTTTAAACTGCTGAAGACAGTTGGCCTGTGGCTGACCCTGGACAGGAGATATTGCTTAGTGTATTAAAAGCACTGGAATATTAGTCATATCCTTTATGCCTTATATAATGTATACTGTACGTCTTATAAAGCTTAATTCTGAAGCAATCTAATGGGCACTACTCTAACTAGATAAAGCATCCAGGTTTTGTCAAATATCCGTCTTTCCCTTTTTTTGCTTACCGAAGCCAGGGCATCGCATGAAGTAATTCCGGGCATCCTTGGGATAATCTCCTTTTACCTCTCCAGTCACAGGGTTGAATTTCGTGAAGCTGTGGCCGTGGAAGCAGTAGTAGCGCTCCAGCCAGCGGAAGGCGGCTGTGCAGTTGCCCAAGTGGGGCCAGTTTTTCTCCTTGACAGCGTGGGTCTTCAGGTCATGGTGATACACATGTGATCCTGGAAGGTGGAGAAGAGACAATAACAACCGATGACTGACATTCCAGCTTTCCAGCTCAGAGTCCTGTACAGTAGAGCTTCTGTAAAGAGAATATTGAGAAAATAACAATCTTTCAAGATGTTACGTTATATAGTCTTTACAGTGTAGAGTCTTAGCCAGTTAATGCACATACACACTTTTATTCCATAATGGCTAAGATAAGTCTTGAAGGTTTCAGTGTCTCCTGGTACCTCTTCCACAATACTTTGGATGTGGGAGAGAATTAAGATTTGCTTCACCAGTTGAGTTCAGGTAAATTTAGGGGAGACCAGAATGTTTAAGCCTGAAGGACAATTTAACCAGGACAACAGGATAAAAACACCCCTCCCTTTTCAAAAAGATCCTTTAATAACCCTGTGTAAATGCCTTGCTGTGGGAATGGTTAGGGTGAGAATTAAGGTCTCCATGCCATTTATAAATAAGAATTTGTCAAGCGACCTACCTGGTTAAATAAAGGTTTCAGGTTTTAAAGACTTTCACTCAAAGAGATACCTTTGTGCCTACCTCTGGGGACCTCATTAGAGAGTTGAGTAGGACATGGCGCTGCATGTATTTTACCTCACCATGGCTTTCCAGCTTGAGTAATGTTTTTCTTTGCTATGATTTAATTGTAAGATACTACACTGTTTTACATTGCTTTAGCGCGTGCACAAAGTTAAATCTAACGAGAGGCTTATGGCAGTGCCTTAGCTAAAAATCTTAGTGTAGGTTTAGAAATATATTGTTAATACCGCCTGATGTTTAACAGCTCCAGGTTTGAATTGTTGCTAATGGCCTGTCCTGACTTGCAGGGCATAATAATGTAACCTCTTATGAAAACCCAGGCATCAGTACTTTGCTTTATTTGTAATTACTAAGCTACATTCACTTGCCACCTCTGAGACCCTGATCCCATCGTTTTGTGATCTGTATAAAACACTGCAATCTGGATGCTAAATGTTTTTAGATTATTTTCTCAACCCCTTTGTCCTGGTTTGCCACCCACATTGATACTGTATGTCTTTGATATGACAGGCTTGCTGCCACTTTTATATTTTTCATCGTTTTTTTTAGGCCACCTTTGGCCTTTGTCTGTATCCCAAAGCTGGAAATACAAAACATTGATTTGGAGCATCCTGCTTGTACCTTTGAAGAAGAGCACAGAGTTTGTTTGGCATTCCCCCTTCGGGCACTCCACAGCTGCATCCAGGTCATCGGGAATTCCAGGGAATTCATCATGAATATCTTTTGGGAAGCCAGCTTCCAGAGTATGGTTATAGTAACTGTAGACCTTGTCATTCTACAGGAGAAGTGAGAAAAAACAACAATTTCAGTGATGGCAAAATATTACAATAAACCTTTGAAAGAATTAATTGAAAGGCATAATTGTCACGATCGCTAACCCCTCCTCTTAAGGGCGCTCCAGCCCTTCCTTGTTCTGCCCCATTGTCTGCACCTGGTCCCTAATCCCGGTCCCCCTTAAAAGCCAGACGCGGACCTTACTCCTGGTTCCTCATTGATTTCCACATCATGAGAGCCCGGGGTCTTGCTGCGTCTGGCTCCATTATGCTTTTAACTTTCTGTTCCTAGTTCCTAGTTCCTAGTTCCTAGTTCCTGCCCCCCCCCCACCGGATGGATCGCCTGGCTATGGACTTCAGCCCTTGTTTCTGATTTCCCGTTTGGATTTCCTACATGGATTGTTCGCCTGGATTCACTCGCCCTGGACACCAGCACTGCATGGACACGCCCCCCTGTCTCCAGACCCTCTCCGGCATGACTTTTTCCCTAGTGTATCTTCACTATTCTGGATCCTGTCGTCCGCATAGGGCCCGAAAGGAACTGCTACGTGACAATAATCGTAAAACAGTAGTTCCAATATACTCGATTCCCAAGCGTCTCTGTAAAACACCTCATGTTACAGAATTTTAATTTTAACTTGTAGGACATCTTTGAAAAGCATACTCACAGATCTTATGTGGTTCTTTAATCTATATTATATAATTTCATTGTTTTGTACATAATAATTTCGGGACAAATAGGAAAAATATTAGTCAACATTTGAGAAATGTTTCTTTCCTTAATATTCATGCAAAACATGTTCAGACACTTTTGTGTGGCAAGAGATTCACTTGTCCCTGTAAGGTCTGTATTAAAATAGAGACTTATCCCATTTTTTACACAGCGAGAAACTGACACTGCCGTCTGTCAGAGTATCTAGATATGCAAGAAGGAGATAAGTCTATGTTTTGGCTTCTTGTTTCTATCCTGTGTGAGTAAAAGCTCCATACCAGGAAGAAGAAAATGTGGTCATGGTCTTCAGGGTCCTCTTCATCATGCATCCTGAAAGCAGCATCGATATGGTCAAGGTGATGATGGTCATCTAACTCATGGAAGGACTCATTGAGGAACTGGGCTTTGCCAGTGAATCCCTTCCACAAGTGGTCACCTGAGGGAGCAAAGCCCAAAGGGTCATTATTAACTGGTAGTGCGTATTTACTCACACCTCAGACCTTAGAGCACTGATAACATGCTCTGATCCTTGTAGAATCACATCCATGTGATTTGTGGGGAAATTAGACTCTCAACGCTTTACAGCCGGGACACTTAGAACTTAAACAGCACGACAAAGCTGCAGCTGTCCTGGACTTGACAACTGTTTAGGGCAGGGAGACTGGGTCGCTGAAACTTAGTCAATACATGGCACTCACCTACTATGACTAGGAGAACATATTATTGTGCCTTCTTCTTTGTCCTTCAGATGAGTCATGGAACAAAATTTAAATTCTGTTATAACTAACAATTGTTAAAGTACTGTACAGTTTTCCCTCTCATCTCTGTAAATTAGTGTGCATAACAGGAGCAAAGTGACTACATGTCGGTGGCAACCGAATGATTGAATCACCTTTGAAGAAGAAAGTGTTTCCTTTCTCGTCCGGGGTGATGGCATCAAACTCTATCCCTGCACAGCGATCTGGATGCTTGTGGTGGTCATCATGGGGCGGCCCATGGTGGTCATCATGGGGAGGACCATGGTGGCCATCGTGGTGGGCACCCTGGTGAACTCCTGGCTTTCCTGGATGGTGATCCTCGTGGTGATCTGAGGAAATTGAATTTTTTTATTGATATAAATTTATTTAGGCAACACCTTCATCTCAATTCAAAACAAACCACGAACTGTACAAAATTAGCAGTACCAAAATATGTCATATCAAAGTTATGATCAAAAGGCAATTTAGGCAGAATCTAAATTCAACAATGACAGTTACTTATCTTAGACATGTCAGAGCCTTTTCAAGAAAGGTATTTAAAAAAAAAGTGCCCACCAGTCAGCACAATGAGGACATAGCCAGCATGTTATTCATAATGCACATCACAGTTTCATCCAAGTTCAGATTATTAGACAAGCAACCTTCTTTTTACAACCTCTTTGTAAACATTTACTGTAATGATTTGCAAAAAAAGAAACAATGGACCAGTGTATTATGAAAAAAAAACAGTTTTGAACTTGTAATGAATGAAGGAAGATGTCAGTGCTGTTCTGTTGTGTGAACTAGAGGCTTAAACACCATCAGGATGTACTAACCTGAAAAGACACCATCTGCTCCCCCATAGAATGGCCTGTGCAGAAAGAAAATAATCGTATTATGTAGTGAGTTTGATACTATGCACCCTGAGTTTTTTTTTTGTGATACAGCAACAGAGATACTGAAAACAGTTCTCATTACACAAATTACTCAAGAGGGTTCTGCAGCAGGGCTTTCCTATTTGGAACCTAGATTCAACCATGACAGAAGAGGATCCCCAAGAGAGAGTCTTCCAACTGGATCAATCATGACATTATTCACTGTTATCTACCTGTAGGCCCTTGCCTCCCCTTCGCACAATATTCACTCTGAGTACTCTCTTACCTTTATTGCTAAAACTGATACATGGTTTGCATAATTGCACATTTGTGATCCATACTCATTTCTCTTTTTAGAAATGTATTCTCAGAAATATTGAATCTGCCTATACATTTGAGACGAATGAGAAGTCTAAAATACTGAAGAGAACGTTGTTCGCTTCAATAAAAAAGACTGACATTTTCCGGTTTCCTACTTACTTGTCTGCTCTTTCTATACACGTCTATACTACATGTGCTACATGATCTTATTTGTTAAAAGTGCTTGTTGATTTATTTAAAAATACAAAATAAAATGCTGCGATTTAAAGTCAACATTTCATGCGCACATTTTCCACTGAGCAGTACTAGAATGTTTTGTGGCACTCAGACTTGCAGTTTAGCCGATTTTGCATTCTAATTAAATCTTGGTCTCTGGAGTGAGCAGAACAGAGGGAGTTAGTGTAGATTCACAGTGCCCATGTGCCACAACGATACGGGACAAAATGAGGTTCTGCAAGGGAATCTTCACTTTGTATCCTAGCAAATCTGCAGAGGGGCTGTAGTAAAGTAACAAGTAATAGGTTTATTCCATGCTGAAAAAAAGAAGAAAGAGAACACAACGTTTCGGCTGTGGAGCCTTCTTCAGGTGTGTAAATTAGTAAATTCGTGTAAATTGTAAATGTAAATTAAATGTGCATCTGAAGAAGGCTCCACGGCCGAAATGTTGTGTTCTCTTTCTTCTTTTTTTCAGCATGGAATAAACCTATTACTTGTTCCTTTGCAGCCTATGCATGCTGACGCAGCTACCCACCTGTAGTAAAGTAATACTTACGGTGGCGCAGCCAGGGAGGAGGCCAGGGCCAAGCACAGACACAGTGCCTGGAACAGGAGTCTCATGATGTGCAGGGCTCTGGGAGCTGCTGGAGCTAGAGAGCAGATCTCAGGAGAAGGTGCAGTGACTGCGCAGAAGTGAGTTTTTATAGTGAGCGCTGGGGTGGAGGGGGGGGGATGTCTGTGAGAGTTTGTACAGAGGGTGATTTCACAAACCTGGCATAGCACTAAAACAAACACCCTCCCTTCTTTTAGTTTACACAAAAAGGGGCTTCATCATGAACTCTGGAGGGGTAAAACAATGTTCAAGGTAATGGACAACCAATGGCATGGACACAAGCTCAACACAATCTGATTTAGATTTGTTCATCAGGGAGCCTTTGTCTCTCCTTTTTTTGAGATAAGCAGGTCATCGTCTTGGCAGGCACCCTTTTCACAATGGCTGAAGAGCCTGCAACGCTCCACCGAAACCTGGGTCCTTAATGTCTTTGTAAGATGAGACTTTCTGAAAGGGTTCTGTTTGCTGGTACCGGTAATGAGAAGGTTGTGAGTTCAAATCCAGGAAGGGCACTGCTGCTGTACCCCTGAGCAAGGTCCATCATCTTGATTGCTTCAGAGACATGCCAGGCCTTGTAAACAGGTTTCAAAAGTATGTCACTTTGGGAAAAAATAACTATTTAATAACGGTTCAGGTGGGGAGCTGCGTC